TTTTTGACAATTTCTCATTTTCCTCCCCATCTTGTTCCCCTGAGGAAGCTGAGACTTGCTATTGGAGGAGATAAGAGATGATTTTGGGGGTACTGTAAACATCCCAGTAAACATTTTCAGTGTCAGCTACAGGCAATTTCTGGATCAACTGATTGGATTTTAAGGTTTTCTAACAGACTCTTTTCTCTGACTTGTAAGAATCATTTTCAGGAGAAAGGGACAAAGAATGGGGCACCTTCACTGGCCTTATTCTGAAAAACACCAGTGCTCTGTCCAAGGTATTGAATTCTCTTTGGATCTTGGACAAATGGCACCACTTATGTTACTAAAAGTAGCCTTCATTCGGTAGACCTGCCAAGAGTATCCTGACATTCTTGAAGGATGTGGACTTTCAAATGCATCAACTGCTTGCACTTTACTCCTGCCCTCCCTTCTTGCCAAGGTCCTTTTCCATCAAGCTACATCTCAAAACTCAAGTCTACTTGGCAGAAGGGGATGCCCTTCAGGAACACCGATTTACAGGGAAGGTAAATTGTTGAAGCCATTCCTATTTTCTTAAGGGAAGATGAAAGTGGTAGTCTTTGGGGTTTCACAAATGAATTGCTCAGAGATCTAGAGATGGGAAAGCCTTTTGGAATAATCTAGTCCAACTCTCTCATTTTATAGATGAGGAAACTAAATCCCAGTGAGGTTAGTGACTGGCTTAAGGTCCAACCTGCAATATTCTCAAGGCACCGTTAGAAGCCAAGGTCCAAGGCTCAGCACTGGCCTAATGAAGGAAATCGCTCAGCTTGAAAGGGAGTTGGGTCTCTCATCAACCCTCTGAATTGTTCCTCTCCTTTACTTTTGCCCCATTCTGAGAGGTCAAGAGGTGGGGGCATTCTCAGAGTATTTTGACTTTAGAAGTATTTTTGCCAAATATGGTGGCAGTCCATGAGGATATTATCAATGACCTCTGCAGTATTGAGTCAAAGACATCAGAACCCTAATCCCTCAATGAAGCCCTTCCTTACCCCCCACCTCAAGTTCTGAAGTACAGTAAATCCATTTTCATCACCTCTTTCAGGCTTCTAGCACACAAAAAAGAAACTTTCTATCGAAGAACAAGGTGGAAAACTTAACATGTGGTCAAGAGGGAAATTCCAGGCCTCTGGAGTCTCCAGAGAGGACTTCTCTGTAGAAGTGACTAATGGAATTGACTTGTGGTTCATTCTGGGGGAATTGCATCCCTTACTACCATAGTGAAGATGAACCTGTGTCCTCCCTGTGTTACAGGCTGGTGCTGTCCCAGAACAGATGTTAAATGATGTTATTCTCCTTGAAGGTCAGAGAATCACAGAAATTTAACATTGCCAAATGTCTAGAGTAGATTTTCTAAACCTGGAGTTCCTAAAATTGCTTTTTAAAAATATTTTGATAACCATTTCAACATAACTAGTTTCCTTGGTAGTCCTAGGTATTTTATTGTAGACATTCAACAACAGTCTTTCGAGAAAGGGCTCATAGGTTTCACCAGATTGTCAAATGAATCCATGATACAAAAAGATTAAGAACTCTTGGTCTGAAGGTTCACCTGAAGGAGACTTTGCCTAAGAGTGAGTCCCCCATGATATGAACAATGTATAGCTGGGTAGCCCAGAGGATAGAGTGCTGGACCTGGAGTCAGAAAGACCTGAATTCAAATCTGGTCTAAGACACATAGTTATCTCCCTCACTTTCTCCATCTGTAAAATGGGGGTTTTATATCAGTATTTATTTATACATTGAATATATATCAATATACATACATAAGTATATACATTATATATTTAATGTATAATATAGGATAGGGCCTACCTCTCAGGGGAGTTGTGAGGTTAAAATGAGGTAATATTTGTAAAGTGCTTTATAAATCTTAAGGCACTATAATATGCTTATCATTATGCTTACTGTTAGTATCTGTTTCATAACTGCACCCGGAATGTACTGGCCTGCTTCACACACCCATTTCTGCTTTAGGAGGGCATTCAGATGCCTTCCAAATTTACTCAGCTGTCGATAATGGATGAGATGACAGTCAGCAATGCCTCCACAGCATCATAAGACTATTGTACCCATTGTCAAGAAATAATAATGGTAGCTAACATTCCCCTCGTATCTTTGGTTTTACACTTTACACATATTACATCACTGGATTCTCACAACTGCCCTGGGAGGTAGGTACTGTTATTATCACCATTCTTCAGTTGAGAAAACTGAGACAAACAGAAGTTAAGTGTCTTGCCCAAGGTCACATAGCTAGTGTCTGAAGCTTGATTTGAACTCAGTTCTTCCTGGCTCCAAGTCCAGAGCTTTACCACCTACGACCTAGTCATTGCCTTGAATTAGGCAGTTCTGCCTCCACAACATCCCTTGCAGCTGTCCTTTTCTCACTACTCATGGGACCACAAGCCTAGCTCAGACCTTCATCTGTACTCACCCAGACCTTCATCTGGGCAAAAGCCTCCTAATTGTCTCCCTACTATGGGTCTCTCCCCTCTCTGATCCATCTTCCACACAGCTTCCATAATAATGTCCTAAAACACAGTTATGACCAGGTTACATCCCTGCTGTCCAAGCTCCCATGATTCCCTATTACCTCCAGGATTAAATACAAACTCCTGTGGCACTTAAAGATTAGCCAGGCTTATTGCACATTACTTCACTTGGTACATTCTACATTCTAGCCCAACTGGTCTGTCCTAATCTTTTGTGCCAGGTGCTGCCAACTGGTCTTTCCTGGAATACTTCCATCCATCTTCTGTCTCCAGGCCCCGAAGGCACTGCTTACTCACTCGACCTTCCTTTAAATCTCTGCTGAAATGCCAACTTCTACATGAAACCTTTCCCCAACTCCCCAGCTGCTAATTTCCCTTCCTATTTACTTTGTATGTATTTTGTATTCAATTATCTCCATACATATTGTTTATCCAAATGGAACACAAACTTTTTGAGGGCAGGAACTGTTTCATTTTTGTTTCTGTATCTCTAGCATCCAGCATAATGCTTGGCATATGGTAAATGCTTAATAAGGACTTTTGACTGATTGATTAAACACTCCATAGCGTGGAGTGCCAAATTTTCCAGCATTCAGGAAAATATCTTCACTCTTATAAAGCAGCAGTAGAAGCTTTGAGCTATGGCCCAGAGGGAATTATAACCCTTGACAGTGGAAAGCAGTCAATAGCAATGCCGTTAATTTGAGTTCCTTCTCCAAATCTGGTCTCTCAACATTTATTATGTATTATTTTTAGTAAAAAATTTATTGGTGCTTTTTATATCACAATCACTTTCAGATATACCCATCCACACTGACTTATCCAATGAGGCTTGCTCATAACAAAAGAAATAAATTAATAAAAGGCGACTGACATACCAATCAGGTTGGACATTGTGTGCTACATTCTGCACCCATAGTCCCCCCTCTCCTCGTCTCTCCAAGGAAAGAAGGGAGGTATATTTCCCTATCATTTCTCTGGTGCCAAGATCAGTTATTATTATTATATAGCATTTGGCTTCATTTCAGTGTTCTTTTCATTATGTCATTGTAGTGATTTTGTGTATTGTTTTCTGATTCTGCTTATTTCACTGTTTAGTTCATACAAGTATTCTCATGTGTTCCTTTCTCATAATCATGTTTTTCATAAGGTACAAAAATATTATGTTCATATTCTACAATTTATTCAACCATTCTCCAGTATCTATTATAACTTTTAACTGGGGCTTTGTCCTAATCTTTTGTGCCAGGTGCTGAAGACTTTACAAGGTCTAGATGAATTCCAGACCTCATGGAGCTTTCTGTCTAAAAGGGAAAAAAAAAGCATTTATATGGTACCTTCCAAAAGCACCAATGTGACTTGATACAAGTATTAATACCCTCATTTTCAGAAGAAGGAGAGGAGGTTTACAGATTTTAAGTTACTGATTCAAGGTCATATAACTATTAAGTGGCAGAACTGAGACTCCAAGTGGGATGAAGCATCACTCCCTCTGTGCATCATTTTCTGCAACTAAAGAAGGGGAGTTGTGGGAGGAGTGAAGGGCTGAGGAGAGGAAATATGGTGAATGTTAGATCGAGAGGTAGAAAACCTGAATTCTAAACCCAGTTTTTCCATTAACCAACTTTGTGACCTTGGATAAGTCTCTTTACCTTTGGGTCTCAGCTCAGGAAAATGAGATGGTTGGACTATATGACTTTTGAGATGCCTTCCAGCACCCTGATTCACTATCTATGAGAACCTTAACTGATATCACCAAGTCATCTCAAAAGAAGATTAAGAGAAACTCACTAATTTAAAGGTAATGATATGAATATGAAACCCAAGGAGAAAGAAACATGCTGGGGATATGGCTGATATTGATCAGGTTCCAGAAATGGCTGACAGAGTCAGAAGTCAAGTGGGTTGCCTTTCCTTAGAGAGTTCCATCTCCTGATGTGTTTCAGCTGAGACTTCTTGGCCACTAAAATATCCTTCACCCAAGAGGTTTCAAGCTTTGTGACCCCTCTGTTAGGCACTTAGAAGGGTCAGTCCTTTAACAAACATCAAGAGTTGACTATAGCCAGGCACTGTTCTAGGTACTGGGGAGATAAAGGCAAAACTAGAATTCTCTGGGGGTGGGGAACACTATGTACACAAATATGCAAATGCCAGATATACAAAGAGTTAATATGAGGAAGGGCAGGGAGGATGGCCCAACCCCTATGTGACCCTTCTGGTCTCTGGTGTTTTGAAATGGATGGGGCTTGTGTGTAATTAAATTGTCTTGGTTTTCATTACAATCCCTGGCCCTCTTTTTAATTGCTTCACAAGTTTGAGAAAGACTCCTTTGCTCATTGATCTGGAATCTTTGATCTGATTAATAGCAGTTGAAAGAAAAAAACAGCTCTGTATGCATGTGCGTGCACATATGTGTGTAAGAATCTCATTAAACTATTCTGGCTTTATCACATCTTCTGATAAGGTTAATACCAAACCCTTTACCTTGTCATCCAATTTCCGTGCATTGAATGCCAGTTCGACATAGTCATCATTACCGGACAGCTCCTCAGCAATCACCTAGGTAGAAAAAGTCAACATAAGCTCTGCTGTAACAACAGAAATATAGCAAAATGACTGACAGCTTTCCTATTTACAAAGCACTTAACATATCATTGTAGCCAACCATCACAACAACTCTGTGAGGCAGGTACAGAGGTGCCCATTTCACTGATGAAGAAACTGAGTCCCAGGGACAGCCAGTGACTCGTCCAAAGTCATTAGACTAACAAGTGTCAGAGACTGGATCTGAACCTAGGTTTTTTCTGACTCCAGGTCTCGGGTTCTTTACCACACTGGATCAAAAATGACTCTGTCATCACCCCTGGTGGGAAGCAGGAAGTGACTACTCTGCTCTCACACAAAAAAGATACCAAGTATGTGGAGGCACATTCAAGAAGAAGTCATTGGCAGTTTTTTTTCCCTTTCTATAAATGGAGGACAGAGGAGTAGAGAAAGGACTTAAATTGTCACAAGAAGAGTCTGGGTGAGACATTAGGAAGAACATTTTTATTTTAAGGGTAAATGAATGAAGTCAAATTGACGAGCGTTTATTACATAATTATTATGTGCCAAGCACTGGGGATGAAAATTCAGAGAGAAAGAAGGTCCCTGCCCTCAAGAAGCTTACATTCTAATGGAGAGGGGAGGAGGGAGGTTAGAAGTGGGGGACATCTATACAGGGGCATAGTAAGAAAAGTCCAAAGAGTCAGGAGTGCAGGCTCAAGAGGAATGAAAACATGGCAACTCTGAGTGTCTTCCTTAATGTGGAGGTTCCAGAAGAAATCAATCAATCAGAGGAGGAGGCTGCGGGGGTGGAGGGTGCTTCTACTGTGAGCAATCCAAGGGTAAAATAAACTTTGAGGGTGATGTGATTTCTGTGGCATGGTAGAGAAAGTCTGGAGAGTAAACAGCTATTGACACGAATTGCCAAGGAAGTTTATGGAATCCCCCACACCCCAGAAATTTTAAAGAAAAGAGTAAACTTTCCTTTCCCAAACTAACCTTTAACTAATATTTCACCATCCATTTGAATGCAGCCCTGCCACAGAGACTGAAGAACCGCGTTTAACTGTCAATTCTTGTCCCTGGGGTAAACAGTTCAAAACAGACTGGGGACAATCAATTTAGGGAGTTTGGGGGTGTATGTGAAAAGGCCTCAAAGAGAGACTTTTGACCTTGGAACCCAAGGTCCTATGAGTGCAGAGACTCTGGGATATCACCCCTGGCAGGGAAGAGAAGGGAGGGGAGTGTGACACAGAGACGTTGAGGACAAGGCTGAGGAGGTTACTGCTTGCTGGTGGTGGTGGAGGGATAAAGATGGGGGAAGAAATAGACTTTCTGAGAGCTTCCTATTTTAATGAATTATTTTTTAACCGTCTATATAAGGAATATAAGTACTGTGGGTATCCTCTAAATTTTGGTCCCCTGGCAAAATCTCCAAGTGCCCTGTCCTCCAGTTCTTAGTTATGGCTCTCATCATGAGAATGAATGAATCTTAATGTTTTCAGTCCCATGCATGTATGACTATTAAGAAGGGCTTCTGGATCCTCTTTCAAAGCTCAAAGGAAGGGAGAGCTATGCTAATTATGGGAAGTCTAGGGCAATTTCAAGAGACAACAGAGTTTAAATCTGGGCACCAAACACACCCGAGCTGGCACCAGGGCAGGCCAGCAGTCAGGAGGGAACAAGAAGAGTTGTTTTTATTTTGTTTGTTTTTTTTTACAAATGTGCATTTTTTTAATCATGGAAAATTCTACTCTTCATGGTGACTAGGTATTTATTTTATTATTCAAGCTACATGTATCTCAGTAAAACTGTACATTCTCTAATGGGTAGAAATGCAGAGAAGACATGTGCCTTGTAAAAGGCGCATAAATATACTGTCCCTAATCCACCAAACCCCAACATAGGGAGACAGAGTTGTGCGGTATAAAGACCGCTGAATGTAGTCAGAGGACCTGGGTTCAAATCCTTCCTCTGGCACTCCTTGGATGGCATAGTTTCTAATCAGAGCAGCCCATATTTACCCTGTTTGATTTTGGGCAATCCCTCCATGGGCCTCAGTTTCTTCATCTGAGGTCTCTTCTACATCTAGCACCCTATGATCTACAAATGGTACATTCCTGACACATCTTTTCATATAAATTAAGGGGAAACACCCCTGGTGTGATCTCACAGCACAATTAGGTAAGAGCCCAAATCCAACAGACAGCAGCATTCAAAGCAATGGCCTGGAAACCAGCTGCCAGGCTCAGAGAGGATCTCCTTCCCCTTTCCTCTACCCCCTAGTTCATATTTATAAATAATGCTTCATCCTCATTAAGCATTTATGGACCAGAACAAATGGAAACTATTTTCTAGTTAGCTTTCTTCTAAGGTCTAATCTATCAGTTCTCTCTGAGTTCATCTGTTCCATTTTGAATGAGGACCATTTGATACAAATTGCCTATGGTGGATTACCAGGAGACTGAAGAGCTAGTCCGTGGCTAATAGGAAAGCTAAACAGGTGAGCATGAGAAAAGAGTGGAAATCTGAGGGCTTCCCCACATTCACGTACCAAACTGTTCTAACTTAGGCAACACTTTCTCCTCAGACATAGTTTTTATAAAGCCCGTGTGGCCAGGAATCGGTGTAATTTTCTAGTATATATATGGCCTTAAGCACATACTCTCTCCCTCTCTTTTTGCATGTGCACATAGATACATATGTGAGGCAGTGTGGTGTAGTGGATAGAAGGCTGGCTTGATAGTCAGGAAGGTTCAGATTCAAGACTTGCCTCTGACATAAACTGGCTGAGTGACCTGGAGTAGGTCACCTAACCTCTCATTGTCTTATTTTTCCCATGGTACTCTCTAAAACTAGAAGCTATAGAATAATTATTGACCGGAATGAGTCTAGGGAGTTTATACTCCAGGGAGTTTCTCACCCTTAAGAAACTGAAGGAACAGACAATAGAGAATAGCTATACTTACTTGTATGTATGCATATATCTATGCAAACAGACACATATGCATGCATATATATAATATGTGTATATGTGTATATGTATGTGTGTGTATATATATATACATATGTATATATACACACATATATGGAATGGAATTATAAGCTAGTCAGTTTTTCTGATTTCTAGTCCATTGTTTTGAGGAACTCTGTTGCCTGCTAGATTTGGCATCCTAATTAATTGTGACATGGGTACTTACAAGAGTATGTTTCTATCATTAGAAGAAGCAAGAAATAATGGCTATGCCAGCCTCACCAGCAGGGAAGACAAATTCAAGTTCTCCCTCTGACACATATTGGCTATGTGACCTTGAGCAAGTGACAGTCTCAGTGATCCAAGGTAGCTCTCTGACTGTAAATTGTAGAGCAGGTGCTTATCTTCATAGATGGAAGGTGTGTCCTCATCAAGAATGCTATGTAGACCCATGTATCCATAGGTCCGTACCAAAATAATAGCAATAATACACACATGTATGTACAATTTTCAAAGAGATCTCATCTTAGGGGTGCAATTTATATTTAGGACCAGCCAAATCTAGCCCAGTAAAATATTTTTCTCCACCACCCTTTGTTTCTGCCAGTCACTGTAAAAAGGTCTTTGATGGAGGAAGATTTGGAAGCATACCAGGTTGAGGTTTCAAGCAATGTAGGGAAAAAAAAGATGTTAAATCCCAATCCGGATCCCTACCCAACAGCTTTTAGGGGGTTAGCTTAATATAATGAGCAAACCATTAGGGTTCACAGCATCTTTAAAGGCAACTAAAATTTTGTAAGGTTACTCGATTGTTAACGACAGCAGAGAATGAGTCTAGTTTACCATCTATAATTCTTTCCTTTTAAATATTGAAGCAACTCAGACATGCATTTCATGTGAGACAGATATTTTCCCCTCAACACATTGGGAGTAGTCCTGAATTTCCATTTAAACAAAAACAATAATAAAAACTTCGAGGATTTTCATCATTGTGGATCAATCACTTTCAAGTTCAAAGTGGGAGTTCAAAGCTGCTCAGGGGCAGACTTCTGACAATTGCGATCATTCTAGCCCTTTTCCCCATTTTTTTTCTTGTCTGCAAAGACGTTGGTTGGAGCAATTCTCCAACATGTTTAAAAGTTGGTTCTCTATGAATTTTTTAAATTATATTCCAAAATTATGCCAGACTTCCAGATTAAAGCAGAACATTGAAGACGGGACTTAAAACCTACATAGTATAGACCTAAGCTTGGACTAAAAGCCTCTGCATGTTTGATACATTCAAGACAATTATCCTTAGTAGACTAAGATGGCAGCAATCTGGATCTTTGAAATGGACAGCTGACTCCAAAACTTCAGTTTACTCGGGAGTTTATATCCTCTCTCAATAAATCCTTTATCAGAGCTATTAAAAATTAGAACTGATGACTGACTGATCTGCCTTCTTTGTTCTTTCTCTACTCCCTTTCTATGTTATGGTGGCAGCATCTAAGTTTTGTTGGCAGGAGAGAAGTAGAAACAAAGAGTATCCATGGGTGATCCATAGCAAACCATAGGCAAGTACAAATGTGTCCTCCATTTTCTTGCCTCTGATTTATTCTGACCATCTCATCAGGAACATTGACCTCATCCAGATGGAAACTTACCGTTATGGAAGACTTTCCTGCCGTGTTTCCATGCTTCAGTAAGGATTTGGACAGCTTCCTCTGTGAAACAATCTGTACAGACAAAGGGGAAACATTCACTGCATGGTGTCAGCTCTGAGTTTTAGTCTAATCCCTAGAATGCTTTATTTGGTTGTCAGTCTAAAGCTACAATAAAAGCATGTCCATTTTCCATAATCAGTTCCCTCTTTATCTCTGGGCATTTCACAAACACACATCACTATCTGCTTCCTTGCTTCTCTTCCTCTCATTAACTGTGAAGCAAAGATTTTTACAGATTAATCAAATTAAATTAAATTGGGTCAATGGAGGGGGGGGAAAAAACAAGGCACAGCTGCAGACTTGTGAAACCTCCTTAGGTTCTCAGTAAAGAAGCCACTTAGAAATCTTCAGACTAGATTAATCAATCAATAAGCATTTTTTAAAATGCTCCCACTATGTGCTAGGCACTGAGGATAAAAAGACAAAAGTGGAAGTCTGTCCTCAGGGAGTTAACATTCTATCAGGGGAAGACCTGAAATACCCTACATCTGCATACATGGGCATGCACCTTTGTGGAAAGCAGAAGCAAGGGATAGGGGGAGGGGATGGAATGCTAGACCTAAAAATGAAGCTATTGTATTTGTCACCTGTACGAATCTATTTTTAAAAGTCTTCATTAGAAAGTCATCAAGGAAATCATTAGCAACCCAATACACAGCCAAATCAAGGACCAGTAATTGAGGGTCTCTCCAGGATTCAGTGTCAAGACACAAAACGAGAACATAATTGAGTGCCGTCCATGAAGCTATTATTAGTGTGAGCTCCTCTCCTCTCCTCTCCACCCCTTATTCTGGGACAAAAAGTTTAGTCAAGCATTAAGGTGCTGATGAATGCATTCCATATAATGCCCAAAGCCAAATAACTTCTCAAGGGTCTGGTTGAAGTCAGGTGCTTAGATCATGAGAAGAAAAACACTCATTATTTCCAGAAAGAGAGAGTTCATCCCACAACGGATGAGTGAATCACACCTGCTCCAGCTGGTATATACAGTGATTTCAAAATGCCTCCTAGATTTTTCTGTCTGTTGGCAGGACTCAGTACCAAAAGTGTGTTATTCATCATAGCAAATATTCACCTCAAGATGTAGTAGAAAGAGGAGGCAGAGGATCTGGGTTAGAATTCTGGCTCTGTAATCTCTGTGACATTGGTCAAGGCTCTTTACCTGTCTGGGTCTCAGTTTCATTGGTAAAATGATGGGAGTGGACTAGATCAGAGGTGTCAAACTCAAATAGAAACAGAGGTTACATGATGACTTGTTTAATCATTCAGTTGTGTCCAGCTCTTCATGACCCCATTTGGGGGTTCCTTGGAAAAGATACTGGAGCATTTGCCATTTCCTTCTCCAGTGCGTCCCTATTTTACAGATGAAGAAGTGAGGTGAACAGGAGTTAAGTGACTTGGCCAGAGTCATACAACTAGTAAGTGACTAGATTTGAACTCAGGACTTCCTGACTCCAGGCCCAGGGTTCTATACACTACACCACCTAGATGTTAGAAAATCACAATTAAAATATGTTGTTTTGTATTTTTATTTATTTTGTTAAACATTTCCCAATTATATTTTAATCTGGACACTACAGAATTTGCAGCTTGCCCTCCAAGAGTTTGACACCTCTGGACCAGATGATCTCTAAGGTACCTTCAGGGTAACTTAATTAGGTGGTACAGTGGATAGAGCGCCTGACCTGGAGTCAGGAAGACTCATCTTCTTGAATTCAAATCTGGCTTCAGACACTTATTAGCTGTGTGACCCCGGGCAAGTTCCTTAACCCTATTTGCCCCACTTCCTCATCCATAAAATGGGAACACACTGGAGAAGGAGATAGCAAACCACTCCAGTATCTTTGCCAAGAAAACCCCAAATGGGGTCACCAAGAGTCAGACACGACTGAAAATGACTGAACTGAAGGTACCTTCAAGCCCTAGGTCTATGATCCTAGGATTTCAAGAAAAAAGGCACCACAAAGTACCATGGGAATTTGGAGGTGTCCATTTCAGTCTCTGCTAAAGTCTTCAGAAGCATGGCTCTTTCAGTACCTGGAGACCATAGAGAGAATGGATCTCTTCATTCACAATGGAAACTGGCAAGGTCAGCAAGCTGAACTGGTTAAGGCTGGAGCCTGGTCACAAGCCTGATTCCCCCTAGGAGCAAGTTCACTTATGATATAGAGGAAATTCTGTTTTGTGACTTTATCCCTCCATCCCTGGAGGCAGCTCCCAAGGGTGCGCTTGGGCTCACGATGGAGTCTGTAGAGAGAACGTAGACAGAGCAGTGCAGCTGACCAGAGCCCTGGTGCTACTGAAACTCAGGGGCTACTGATACTAAGCCCATAGCCTCACTGTTAGACATAAAGGACACATTATTAAATAAAGATATCTTCGCATTCCATTATTATTGGACAGCACTTTTTAGCACAGTGCTTTGCACACAGTCAATCCTTTGGATCAAAGAATCATAGATTCAAAGCTAAAAGAGACTTCAGAGGTCATAGGATCCAATCCTCTCTTTTTATGGATGAGGAAACTGAGTCCCAGAGAAGTTGTGACTTAATCTATATTTGTTGAATTGAGAGTACCTCTGGCTAGCACTGGGGTAGCTAGCCTGGAATCAGGAACACCTGAGTTCAAATCCGGCCTCAGTGACTTACTAACTGTGCCACCCTGGGCAAGTCACTTAACCCTGTTTGCCTCAGTTTCCTCTTCTGTAAAATGAGCTGGAGAAGGAAATGAAAGCTACTCCAAGATCTTTGCCAAGAAAACCCCAAATGGGGTCACGAAGAGTCAAACACAACTGCTACATCTGAAGAATGGCAACAGAAATGGTTAGCACAGAAGGTGTGCCCACCATAGAAATAGTGCATATAGTAGTGTTCTTACTTGAATGGCAAATGTGGCCCATGAGGGTGATCGAGCTTTACGCAGGCTATTCCCCAGGTCAGCAGGGTTGACTGGAATCACAGGGTCAGAGGGCCATGGGGCTACAAGCTACTTCAGGGGCCACCTGGTCCAAGGTGATTTTACAGGCGAGGCATCTGAAGTCCATGGAGGTGATGACTTGTTCCAGATCACACAGGTACTCACATCTGGCCAGTGGTGGATCGAATGCTGGATTTGAGATCATCTGAATCTTGCCTCAGACAGTTACTAGCTATGTAACCCTGAATAAATTATTTTATCTCTCTCAGCCTCATTTTCCTTATTTGTAAAATGGGGATAATAACAACTCCTACTTCATAGGGTTGAGAAAATCAAACAAAATAACCTACATAAAACACTCTGTGAACATTAAATGCAGTTAAAATGTTAGCTATTATTTATATTAATATTACTGTTTTTGCCAGTACATGTCATGACCCTCATTTAATGACAAGGCGGGATTTAGAATTGTCATTTGCCTGAAATCCAGTCTTTTTTTTCCATTACGCCATGCTGCCTTTCAGATGGGTTGGCTGGCTGAAAGAAGGGCCCTTCCTCATCCCTCCACGTGCAACCCTCTAACAGGGCATGCTCACATGAAAAGGAATGTCCTCCCTGTTCTTTGGTCAATGATATACCAATAGCTACATCCGCTTGTTCAAGAGTGAATTAGAGAAGAAGAAGGATCTATAACAAAACAAAAAGGTCTACAGAGAACCCTGGATTTGAAAATGCTCTCCCTTACACTTTTTGTTTCATGAGAGCTTTGACATCCAGAATGGACAATTATTCATTGGTTAGCCTTTGCATCTCCTCCTGGGTTAAGAAGATGTTTAATAATGTCACCTTTACCTTGCAGATTCAAAGAAAGCAAAGAAGATCCTCTTGGAAATGCACTACTCATTGTTTGCTCAACGAGGCACTTTGGTTGTACATCAGGGAAAGGCCAGACCCAGTAAATGACAAATTAGGAAACAGTCAAGTCCTGTGCAATTACATAAGGGTTGGATTGAAGGCAAGATTCCTTTGGAATAGCACTCCTCAACAATGACCAGAATTGGCATCCTTTCTGAGAGCAGAGATCATGAATTTCTCCTCCTCTGTCACACTTTTAAAGGAGGCTACAGCTACAAGAGTCTTCATTACATAGAGGTAATCAGCATTCTTTCCTACAGTCCCAGCATAAATGGTTATTCATTCTGGGTGAGCAGCTATCTCCCAGACTGCTGAATAATACATACCTTTCTGTAAGTTGAGAGGATCCTAAATATTCAAGGGAACACATGGAATCAAGACTACAGAAGATCAGGGGGAAACTTAGGGTCCCTAGAGGAACTTTATGAGTGATCAAAAGAGGGCAGGCACATGGATCAATGAACAGCAGGGAGAACTGATTTTGTAAAGTTGACTTAACTACCATCTGTCCAAAAACAGGCAATATATTCCCCTTTCACTGGTGTCATGTGGAACAGAAGAGGAAAGTGATCTGAGAAATAATTCTCTAGATTTTTAACTTGGATCCTTTGAGAGTAAGGTGATCTATTAAAAATAAGCAAACCTGTAATCTACTCCCCACTCCTTAAAATGAGACAAAATATTCCTAACTCGATCTAGATAGGAATCCTGGCTTTGCTGCTCAGTACCTGTATGACAGTGGGCAAAGAACTTACCTCCTCTAGCTTCAGTTTCCTCCCTTATAAAATGAAGGATTGAACCAGATGAAGGGAGGGACCTAGCCTCTCAGGTCCGTTCCAGTTTGAGAATTATGATCCTATCACGCATGAGCTATGAAACAAGGTCCATAGGAGTCAAGAGTGTGACATAGCAGCCCTCCAGAAAAAACTTCCTATGCGATCTTTGGCTTCATTATGAGAGGTACAGTTCCAGGAATATAGAGGGGTTAGTTCTGCTGTACTTGAATATAGCAGATAGAATGCTGGCCTTGGAGTCAGGAAGACCTGAGTTTGAATCCAACCTCAGACACTTACTAGCTGTGTGACCCTGGGCAAGTTACTTAACCTCAGCCTCCCTCAGTTTCCTTCATCAGTAAAATGGGGATAATAATAGCACCTACTTCCCAGGGATGCTTCTAGGCTCAAATGAGGTGACCTATGCATAGAAACACTAGTTTATTATTATGTTGTTGTTGTTGTTATTGTTGACAATTGAAGTATTTTTTGTGTTTAGTCATGCACAGGATAGCTTACGAAAGATATTGATTAGCTAGAGAATAGTTAGAGGAAAGCATTGGTCATTGTAATTTGTCGCTTGAGAAGCATTGAAGGAACTGGGGCTATTTAGCCCAGAGAAGAGAAGACTCAGGGTGTTCATCATAGGTGTCCTCCAAACTTGTTCTATTTGATGCCAGAGGAAGAATAAGGAATAAGAGGAGGAAGTTGCAAAGGAGCACATTTAAACTTGCTATTAGAAAAAAAAACAAACTTCCACACAATTAGAGTTTTCCAAAAGTGAAATAGGCTACTCCAGGAGGGAGTACGTCCCCTTATTCAAACAGAGATTCAATGACCCTTGTTGGGCATGTTTGGGTAGAGATTTCTTTTGGGTATGTATAGGTTGGACAAGATGACCTGAGGTCCTTTGTAGCTTTAAATCTTTTTAAAAATATTCATTTTTATTAATATCATTTATGTCACTTTCATTTAGAAATATATCTGTAATATAGAATAAAAAAAGGAAGAAAAAACTCAGTTCAGCAAAACTAACCAACATCACAATGCAGTCTCCCATTATGTGCAACGTCCCATACCCATAGTCCCTCAATTTGCAAAGAAGGAAGGAAGGCCTAGATTTCAATCCGTGATACTAATGCTCTTTGCCCTAATAATCCACTCATTGCATATGTGTCTACACACAGGTTTGCTTGCTATGTCTCTGCAGGATATAAGCTTCTTAAGGCAATTATCTTGTTTTCACATATTCAGCCAAGAACCAAGGGACATTTTATTAATATATAGTGATGAAATCAATTGGATAGATCATGAGGGAGCTCAGTGCTCCTTCCTTTTGTGCAGTTAGCTAGACGCACCATCGTGTCCTGTCACATAGGGGCTGCACATGGCCAAATGGAGAAGATGCAACGTTTTGTTGGTTTCTAACATTTCCCAACTCTAAAAAGAAGAGTTGTTGAAGCTAGAAGGGACACTTTCCCAGCAACCCATCAGTTTTTGTAAATGCATGCTGGACACATAGACTACCAATGTAGCAACCAACCAAGCTGATTCATCTGGCAGCTGCTTAGCAGGTGTCGCTGCCCAAAGAGGTCATTAATAATTAGGAGCCAGATACATTTATTTAAATAATTATCGATGAGCAATGAGTTGCTTTACCATTAGCTTCTGTTTGGGATGATGGGCTAAAGAAGCAGCCATTCACAGCTCCAGGAATGATCGTTACAGAGATGATGGTTGGCTGCAAATCTTATTCTCCACTTAGTATTGTTCGAGAAGTAACCACAGAGAAGATGCACTCTGGCTCCGCAAGTGAACAAGGACATGGACACCGTTGAATGATTAAAGCCTACAAATTGGCTGACTGCACTCACCATCTGGCTGAAGTGGATGTACTTGTCAAAGGTTCTTCCAGTTAATTATTTAAATCCTACATTTGGGGGCATGGCTGAAGACATTAGAGTTTCCCTGAAAGTACAATTTAAAGAGTATTATCTTTTGGGGATCTACACCTGTCACTTCATTTGTGTGGGGAAACTCTAGGTGTGGAAACTCCTTCTGACAAAGCAAATCGGCATATTGTCTATGACTTCTAATCTTAGACAGTTGACTAGGGACACTGAGAAGTCGAACTTATGGTTACAGAGCTAGTATGTGTCATAGGAAATACTTGAACCCAGGTGTTCCTGACTCCAGGATAGCCTTCTACCTGCTACTCCATGCCATTTCTCATAGGAATTAAAATATAGGAAGTGAAAACAGTTTTATCTTCCTCAGAGTAAGCTCCTACCTCAAGGGAAATGGCACTATTTAGCAATTGGTATGCAGCACAATGTTCTATGGTAGCTAAGCTGCCTCTCTCTCTAGGAGACAGAAAAGTACTTTGATACCAACACACAGAATAGTCAGATCTTTTTTTTGTTCTATTAACTGGATAGCAGGATAGAATTACAGGATGGGATTATGAAGTAAGAAGACTTTTAGAAGAGAACATATATAACCCAATGGATGTGGTCCATCAAAGTCACCTTAGGAGGTTATGTGCTTATTGAATGATACTCCCACCACTAAGAGCATTGATGAAACTCTCTTTTTGGAATTCCCTATTAACCACATTTTTTTTGCAGCAAACTGTTGATCAGAGACTTGACTCTGGATAACTTTTGGCTATTTAAAAAAATCTTCCTTCAAATGATGAATATTCTCCATCACTGAGAATATTTAGAAGGATTTGCTAGATGCTTGGAAAGCAAATCAAAATGAGATGCTTCAGAACTATTTTGGGCAATGGCAGCATAGATTAGATAGATGGATAGATGGACAGATGGACAGATGGATAGATAGAGGATGGATGGATGTCTCCCAAGGTGATTCTAAAGGAGAACACTCACTTGGATATTCATGTTCTGATGTTTGTTTTAAAAGCCAGTGACATTGTTTTTTGTTTGTTTTTTTGGCGAGGCAATTGGGGTTAAGTGACTTGCCCAGGGTCACACAGCTAGTAAGTATCAAGTTTCTGAGGCTGGATTTGAACTCAGGTCCTCCTTGGCTCCAAGGCCGGAGCTCTATCCACTGCACCACCTAGCTGCCCATGACATTGTTTTATTTTATATTCCCAGCCTCTACAGGGGGATGTGTTAAGAGAATTGTTTCTGTCAATCTACAGCTTGTGTGCCAAAGCTGGTGCAAAGGCTGATTTTTAGTGGTTGGTGCTCATTGTCACCAACAAATCCCACCCCCAACAATGTTTTATAAAGGTCCATATTCCCACCCCACTTCTCCTCAAGAACGTTAATGGATGTTCCAAGGGAAAAGGTTTGAAAATAAAATGGCTTTATCTTTGAGTCTCTTTCATCTATTTACTCTCCTTCTCCTCCCAGATCCCAAGTGCCCTCTGCCTTTTGGCTGTTCAAAGCCCTGTACTGTGACCATCTCACTCAGGTCTGCTTGCCCAGCTATATTCAATCTCCAATCTCTTTTCCTCCTGGGATTAGAACCCAGAGCTCCTCAGTCCTTAACATTTTAAAGAAGTCTAAGTTTCATCTTCAGTTTACCCCTACGTACTTGTCTGAGACTTAATTTGATTATTCCAGAATCTTGCATTTACTTATTTGCTAATGGTTGATGGCACTCATTTCTCTTCCACCAATCCCTTTCTACTCCCCCAGAAGACCATTTTGTCAATGCACAAAAAAATAGTTGAAATCTTTTCTGTCTGTAAGGAAATGAAATAGACTCATGTTTAAAGGTAAAAGAGCATAAAGCAGATTTCCTCTTTAATCTCAAATTAACCCCACCCCACTGGATACCTACCCTACTCCCAGTGGTTGGCCTAGAAGTAAACATTTGAGTTGTGGCTGATCTCAAAATTGCCTGTGGCTAAGACCCTAAAATTTATAGCTGGAAGGGATCTCAGAGATCTTCTGTACATTCTAGGCCAATCTACAGGCATTATTTTTTATGAGAGGAAGCCAAGGCCCAAGGAGATAAGTGACCCACTCAAAGTCTCATAGGGAATAAATGGTAGAGGCAAATATAAGTTGTTTCTCTCCCATTAGAATGCAAGCTCTCTGAGAGCAGGATCTGCTTTACTTTTCCATTTGTAGCCCCAAAGCTTAGCAGAGTGCTTTGAACATAGTAAGTACTTCATTATTCATTTTGACACCAAAATCCAGGGCTCTTTCCACTGAAAACAGAACTGTAAACTCTGTAATAAATGATACATAAATTTGATTACTATTAAAAATTTTAAAAAATACTATGTTAATTTTTGTTGTTAAATTTGAACTGAAACAATCTCTCTCCCATATGCCATTCCTTCCCTACTTCCCTCATTTCTACCACCAAAAAAACCCATCACATTTCTAGGGAACATTTCTCTAACTGGGAATGAACCTGTGGCTTGGAAGGGCTTTCTATTTCTTCAAGAGGTGACTCAGAGCAATGATGGCAACAATATTATGAAACACTCTTCTCCCAACGACTTTCTGAGGTATAATAGATACTGCAAACATTCTAATTCCTGTTTTATAGATCAGAAAATTGATATTCAGAGGTATTAAATTGATTGTCTAAGGTCAGTGACTACTAAATTGTTGCTTTTTGGGGTGACTGTGTAGTAAAAGGGAAAGAGTACTGGGTTTGGAATCAGAATTGGGTTGAAATTCCAGCTCTGCTATTTATTAACTATGATAGTTCTACTTGAGTTTCTGAAGCCAGCCTTTTGGAAAGAAAAGGAATAAACATATGGCCCCAGAGCTGAAAGAGCAGCAAGGGATTGAGGTGTGATGTGGAGGAGCAAACCTGGATTTTGCTCTCCTTAACTACCTTGAGTTATGCCAATGGTGTAGGTCCAGAAGGAGTTGGGGCGGGGGGGGGGGGGGATTGACTTTTTAGCAATCCCAAATGCAAAATTCCTTCTCAGTTGAACTCCTAAGCCTTAGCCCTCCTCTCCACCAGTGACTGTATCTAATCCTGGAAGGGAAGCTAGAAAACACCTTGCTTCTCATATGATGCCTAAACTCTCCCTTCATAACCATTACTTAGTAACCTCTCTTCCTTTGAAGTTCATTTGCTCAAAATTTTCCACTTAATTCACATTATGGAACCACTATATACTAGCTCCCTTTTCAAAGAGTTCCAAACCTGGTTCACCAGCTTCTCCTCCTCCCCAATACCTGCCTTTATACTAGAGAATGTCAACATCCTTACTGATGCTCCCTCAAACTCCTTAGCCTCAGACTCTTTATACCTCATGACCTATTCTTTCTCTCCACCTCAGCCACACTCAGGAATGGTCACACCCTGGATTTTACTATTACCCTCAATGTCCTACTTCCTTAATTAAAAGCATTGATATTCCCCTACCTGACCATTTACCCTTCTATCAGTCCATATCTCCCTATTCCTCATCATTCCTAAACCTTTCTTTGCCTTCATTGAGACCTTGACTCTCTCTACCTCTCAGTACTTTCTCAGTCTTGCTCTGACTTTACTTTCTTCTCTCACTGTCTTGACCCTACAGTGAGTCAATTCAAGTCTATACTTTTCTCTGCTCTTGAACCTCTTGTCCCCTTTTTCTGTCAATGCTCATTCTTTGTCAAACTTTAGTCCTGGATGATTCTTGCCAACTACCTTCTCTGCCCATATTCATGTTACTGTTATAAATAGAACTGGAGAACTATGTTGACTGGGTACATTCTAAACTCACTTTATCCAACTTCCACTTGGGGCCCTTCAGTAATCAGGAATCTTAGATGATTATTTTACAGATAAGGAAACTGAGGCCAAGGGGGGAAGGTGAAGAGACTTGCCCAATGCCACATGGGTAGTAAATGGGAGCATTGTTGCCAAGCATTCTATCCTCAGCATTGCCTTGGCTGCACTTTTTAATAAGAGCTAATTGCTTCCTGCAAAGTTTGTCCCTTGGAAAGGGCTGTGGGGAGAATCATCCACTCTGGTTTTCACACTCTACCAATGACAAGGAAGGGCCATGTGGTAGATAGGAGCCTTGGTGTCATGAAGACCTAAGTTCAAATCCTCCTTTTGACACCTGTTAGCTGGATTACACTGAGCAAATCATCCTTACAGCTACAAGTGTCTCTCTGATACTATAAGCGTGCTAGAAACAGTAATGGGATAGCAGACAGAACACTGACTTTGGAATCCAGAAGATCTGTCTCATATCCTTAGCTCCTTACTAAAAATGTGATGTTCTCATTATATTGTGAGATTCTTCATGGCAGGGAATGCCTTTGACCTTTCTTCATATCGCCAGTGCTTAGCACATAGTAGGTACTTAATGCTTATTGATGGACTGACAGCCCAGGGAAAGTCACATAACTTCTCTGGGCCTCAGTTTCCTCATCTGTAAAATGAGAGGGCAGGATTCAGTGGCTTCTAAGGTCTCTTCCAGTTCTAAACCTATGACTCTATCTGCATTGGTAGAGAGAGTTTTCTCTTTGGGAGTTCCCTATAAAATTATAAGTGGGACCACAAGCAAATTTAATGGCTCCATGGAGGACAGCGGATACAGGAAGAACTTAATGCTGGCATAATACTTTTTTAAAAAATTTTTTTGGCATGATACTTAATGATAAAAAAGGACTTTATAGATGTAGAAATGACTAAAGTACTAAAGAAACAGCTTGACTTTATATTTCTATCCAAGGAACAAATATAGCACAAAAGCCCATTCCATAATGCCAGCCTGGGCCTAGCTAATCTAGGTCTTACAGGCACAATATGGCCAATAATATGGCTTTATTGCAGTGAGGAGAGAGCTTAAAAGATTAAGCTGGCAGCAGCTTTGACCCCTCATTAACAGGTGAACTTTACAAATATGCTCAAGGTATAGATGGTGCCATGCTACATGCCAATCAGGAGAGAGGACCTGAAAGCATTCATTTTTAGCAGCAAATGATTCAGCTCCCCAGAGATTACCCAGGTGGGCTACACTTGAGGAAAGGCCTTTTGAACCCTAGGAGCAATCTGCAATCTATTGGTCTGGTCTTCCTGGGCCAAGATTTCTATTAGGCAGAATTCCAATTACTTTGGGCTATAATTACAGGCTTTTACCCTTTCTCCAACTTCATTAGCAAAGAATAGGAGTGGAGAGTAGGGGGAAGAGGTGGGGTGAAGAGGGCTGAATGTGAATTAATTGTGCATAATTATCTTTTGTGTAATTCCTTTAATGACTATCCATCCTATTACCATCACAGGTGAAGGAGTGTTAGTTATAAGCCAAAGGCTAAGACCCCTAATAAAATGTGAGGCTCAGGATAAAGAGAAATAAGTTGAATCCATCATCCAGCCAAACCCCAAAGAAGAGTATTTGATCAGGTCCCTTCTGTCTCTTCACCTTTTTCACCATTCTGCCTTTCTGAAGCATTAATTTGTCTTGGGGAAGTTAGTCATTATTATTCTTGGTAGTCAAGGTCAAATGCCAGTGTTTGGAGGAATTCCTTTTCCTTCAACAAACACTTGGGTGGGAGACTGAATGAACTACATATATGGCTCATTCATAACAGTAGCCCCTAGCATTAGTACTTTGGTTTATGCTATAGAAATCAGTCATACAGTGTTCACTTGCAAATAAACAGAACTTGCCTGCCTAAACTGGGCATAATAGCATCTCAGCAAACTTGGACATTACTTCTATTTGCAAATGGACATTGGTCTATTCCCTAAAATGGTGTAATCCCACCGAATTCTATGGACCTTCTCTTTTATCACACCAGCCAAAATGGGCATAAAATGGGTGGGTGGGGGTGAGGTGGGTAATGTGGGAACACGTGTGCCAAATAGGGTAGTAGAGACAGATGATGAGCCATGAGGATGGAGAAATAAGGATCAGAGGGAGGAATGGTGGGTATGAGAAGAGTTACAGAGGCCTGGTCTTGAGTGCACTGCGTTGATCTACTAGTAACAAACAGGTTATTCAAAGAGTTTGGTGTTCTGCATAACCAGTCAATGAGTTATCTGTGCTGGGAAGCATTTAGAAGCAGGTCTGGGGGTCTCAGTCAATAATAGAGAGGTGTCCTTGTGATCATCATAAGATATTTAGTCCAAGGCACTAATTTTGCAGATGAAGAACCGAGGTTCAGAAAAGTTAAATGCACACGGTCACCAACGTGGGAAGAAGCCAATAAGGGATTGAAATTCTGGGGAGAATTACAAACTTTGGGTAATGTTTGGTAGATAGTCTTTTCTTTTGTCAGGAAATTGGTGAAGGAGAATGCTTTTGGTTTAACTTTCATGATGGAGAGAAGGGAGGGGCAAGAGAAATCTGGTGCTTTAGGAAAGGATCTTATGACTGTCTTGTGGCTCTAGGCATGGGCTGATGCTTTTAAGGTTTTGTTTTTGTTACCTATCAGTTGTTTAATTAGTTTGAATTCTCATTTGGGAAACAAATGCATAGAGGTTTTGTATTTGTTTGTTTTCAGGTTATTGGCTTTTTAACCTGGCCCAGCTGAGTTTGTTTGTCAACTGATGGAGTGGAAAACAGAGAGAAACAAATGATCAGTTTATAAACAGTCTTAGCAGGAGTTTAGATGTTACAGACTGTGGTTATATCAGCCCCATCACCCAGAGGAGGGAGGACATGTAGCTAGGGATCCAGAGTGTAACTGATGAATGCCTGACTCCAAAGGAATTCTCCCAATCTCTGGGTTTAACCATATGCATTTGAATAGCTCTTGATTGGAACATTCAACAGCATCTGGGGTTTGCTCACTTTAGACTGGAATATCAAGCTCCCTTTGTCCACTTTGGTGTAAAAGCTCACACACTGGGGGTGGAGGCAAGATGGCAGACAAAAGGCAGGAACTAGCCTGAGCTCTCCCAAATTTCCCTCCAAACAATTTAAATACTGCCACAAAACAAATTCTGGAGTGGTAGAACCCATAAAAAGACAGAGTGAAACAATTTTCCAGCCCAAACCAACTTACATGGTCAGCAGGAAAGGTCTGTCACACTGGGGTAAGAGGCAAGCACAAGCCAAGCCAGTGCAGACCTGGCCCCAGCAAACCAGCAGTAGGCCTTGGGAGTGACCTGATCAGCAGAGGGCAGCTGCTTCCAGAGCTCTCAGCCCACAGATGGTAAGGAGGTCAGACAAATGGTCGGGAGATTACAGGGGCTGCTTTGCTAGCACTGGGGGCAGGACTCTGTTGCTTTGCTCATACTTGGCTCCAGGTTATAGTCCAGGTGGCAGTCTCATGGTGAGGAGGAGCACTAGCACATCAGAGCTTATGGCTTCAGGGGACCCTGGGTCATAGTTCCAGAGTAGAGGAGAGTCCTTGTGATCACTCACAGATCAGTGCACAGTACAGGAGACTAGTAAACACATCTCTCCTTAGATCATACCCACTCTGGAAGAAGTGAAAACCTACAGGTCCCCAGAACTAGCTCTGAAACAAGCTGCACAAAAACCCTGCAGCTTGAGAAAATAAGCCGTCCACCCCAGAAGTAGAGACCACTTTTAGTATACAGTTAAAAGTCAAGAAATAGACTGGGAAAATGAGCAAACAGTAGAAAAAATTCTGACTATAGACAGTTACCATGAAGACAAGGTAGATCAAAACACATGCTCAGAAGAAGACAACAAAGTCAAAACTCTATATCTAAAGCCTCAAAGAAAAATATGAATTGGTCCCAGGCCATGGAATAGTTCAGAAAAAGATTTTAAAAATCAGGTAAGAGAGGTAGATGAAAAAATAGGAAGAAAAATAAGAATGATGTAAGAAAATCATGAAAAAAGAGTCAATAGTAAATAACACCTTAAAAAAACAGAATAGGCCAAATGGTAAAAGAGGTACAAAAATCCAGTGAGGAGAAGAATGCCTTAAAAAGCAGAACTGACCATATGGAAAAAGAGGTACAAAATTTCACTGAGGAAAAGAATTCCTTAAAAATTAGAATTTGGCAAGTGGAAGCTAATAACTTTATGAAACATCAAGAAACAATAAAACAAAATCAAAAGAATGAAAGATAAAAGAAAATTTGAAATATCTTGTTGGAAGAACAACTGACCTAGAAAATAGATCCAGGAGAGATAATTTAAAAACTATTGGAGTACCAGAAAGCCATGATAAAAAAAAGAGCCTAGGCATCATCTTTCAAGAAATTAAGGAAAACTGCCTTGATATTCTAGAACCAAAGGATAAAATAGAAATTGAAAGAATCCACCAATCATCTCCTGAAAGAGA